ATGTAAATGTGTAATGGTCTTACTGTTTTTTAAAATGAGATATAAATATTTAGAACATTTCTTGGTTTTAATTTCTAATATGGTAGCTATTAATAGATATACATTTTTTAAAAAGCTATTTAGGGTCCTTAATAATTTTTAAAGGAGCTCTGGTGGTGCAGTGGTTAATGTGCTCAGCTGCTAACTGAAAGGTTGGTGGTTTGAACCCACCAGCTGCTCCACAGGAGAAAGATGTGGCAGTCTGCTTCCCTATGGGGAAGTTCTACTCTGTCCTACAGGGTCATCAAGTCAGAATCAACTCAATGGCAATGGGAAATAATTTTTAAGAGTTGTCATGGATCAAATTGTGTCCCCCCAAAATATGTGTATCAATTTGGCTAGGCCATGATTCCCAGGATTGTGTGATTGTTCACCATTTTGTCATCTGATGTGATTTTCCTATGTGTTGTAAATCCTATCTCTATGATGTTAATGAGATAGGATTAGTGGCAATTATGTTAATGAGGCAGGACTCAATCTGCAAGATCAGATTGTATCTTAAGCTAATCTCTTTTGAGATATAAAAGACAGAAGGGAGCACAGAGACGTGGGGACCTTCTACTACCAAGAAGGCAGTCCCAGGAGCAGAGCGCATCTTTGGACCTGAGGTTCCTGTGCGGAGAACTCCTAGACCAAGGGAAGATTGATGATAAGGACTTTCTTCCCGAACTGACAGAGAGAGAAATCCTTCCCTTAGAGCTGGGGCTCTGAATTTGGACTTCTAGCCTCCCAGACTGTGAAAGAATAAATTTCTCTTTGTTAAAGCCATCCACTTGTAGTATTTCTGTTATAGCAGCACTAGATAACCAAGACAGAATTTGGTACCAGGAGTGGGATGCAGCTCTAACAGACACCTAAAATGTGGAAGCCGTTGCCTTGAAGACACTGTTGGTGGAATTATGGACGTCAGACAATTCTGGTCAGGACTCAGAAGGAACAGCAGAGAAACGGCAGCAGCAGAGTAATGGCAGCAGCAGAACTAGGAGACCAGCGGGAAACAGTGCTGGAGTCGACCCACAGAGGGAGAGAGTTTAGTGCCTTCGTGCAGGAGGCTTCCTGGCAGAGTAGGGTGCCTCCAGGCACTTACTGGCGGAGCTAGGCTTGCCAACCCATTGACCCACTGAGCAAGGGAGCTGAGTGCCTTCTGGTGGATGTTTAATGTTTACTGGCAGAGTGGGATGCCTCCAGGCATTTATCGGTGGAGCTACAGAGCTTTGGAACACTTGCTCCAGCAGGGCAGATGAGGGCAGAAAGGCTCAAGGGGTCCAGAGGCCAAGGAGCCAGGAAGTAGAAGCTGAAGAGACAAGGAACATAGGAAGCAGAGCTACCTCAGTCTCCAAGAGTGGAGATGCCACTCAGATGGACTAGAATGGGGCCGCCCAAAGCCGAGGGAGCAGAGTTGTCATTCCAGTGGGCCTGGAAGCGGAGCTGAAGCCAGGACTGAGGGACATCCACTCAGAATCCAGAGAATGTGGCCAATACCAAGCATCAGGAGGGCAGGGCCACTGTCTAAATGGTCTCAGAGAACAGAGGATTATTTTCAAGCCTTGAGGGCTAATGTAATTTATTCTGCTGACTTGCTTAGTGCCTGTTATCCCTTCTTTCCCTCCAATGTCTTCCATTTGTAATAGAAATGTCTAGCTTGTGCCTACTCCACCATTGTACTTTAGAAGCAAATGACTTGTATTGTAGATTTCACAGATGTGGAAGAAATTTTGGAGCTGGAGTTGATTTAAGACTTTTGCTATGATATGATGGGGTGAATCTGTTTACATGTGGCAAGAATGTGAAATTTAGGGGGCCAAAGGGTGGAATGTAATGGATTGAACTGTGTCCCCCAAAAATTTATATCAGTTTGGCTAGGCCGTGATTCCTAGTATTGTGTGATTCTCCACCATTTTATCATCTGATGTGATTTTCCTGTGTGTTGTAAATCCTACCTCTAAGATGTTAATGACATGGGATTAGTGGCAGTTATGTTAATGAGGTAGGATTCAATCTATAAGATTAGATTGTGTCTTTAAGCCAGTCTCTTTTTGAGATCTAAAAGAGAGAAGTGAGCAGAGAAACACTGGGACCTCATACCACCAAGAAAGCAACGGCTAGAGCAGAGCACGTCCTTTGGGCCTGAGGTTCCGACGCTGAGAAGCTCCTACGCCAGGAGAAGACACATGAGAAGGACCTTCCTGCAGAGCCAACAGAGAGAGAAAGCCTTCCCTTGGAGCTGGTACCCTGAATTTGGGCTTCTAGCCACCTAGACTGTGAGAGAATAAATTTCTCTTTGTTAAAGCCATCTGCTTGTGGTATTTCTGTTATAGAAGCACTAGATGACTAACACAGGAGTGCAAAGGAGACCTAAGACCAAAAAGTTTGAGAACCACTCCTCCAGTCTTTTCACAAACTGATCAAATTATACAAATTGGTCTATAGCAGTTATCCATCCAAAATGCTGGGAAACAAAAATGCCTATTAAGGAGGCCTGCAACCCAAAGTTACAACTCAGGGTTTTTTTCCACCTCTGAGTGGCCAAACTTCTTTGAGTATTTGTGTTGACATCTTACCTACATTCAAACTTGTCAAAATGTGCCACTTCTTCTGTGAAGTCCTTCTTGTTTTTTTTTTCACAATATGATCTCTACAGCATTTTTTCCATCTGTCTTATGGTTTTGTATTTAATTATTCATATACTTGTTTTTCCTTCCTGCTAGACCATAAAATCCATGAAAGCACAGTGGTATAGTGTGGAAAGAGAATGTGCTTTGGGGTTTAACACACCTGGGCTAGATTCCAGCTTTCTCATTACTAACTCTGAGACCCTGGGCATGTTTCTTAACTTCATAGAACTCTAGTTCCTACATTTTTGAATGGGAATAATGATAATTAGCCTATTATCATCCCCACTGTACAGAATGAGCTTAGCACAGTTCAGGGCATACAGTGAGGAACCAATAAATGGTAGTTACAGTTTGTGCTTGACTGCTAACCTAAAGGTTGGCAGTTTGAACCCACCCAAAGGTACCAAGGAAGAAAAGGCCTGGCTATCTGCTTCCATTAAGATTACAGCCAAGAAAACCCTATGGAGCAGCTCTCCTCTGTAACACATGTGGCTGCCAGGAGTTGGAACTGACTCGATGGCAACTAACAACAACAACTACTACTACTATCAAAAATCTCTGGAAATCTTGTAGCTCCAATCATATTATCTTCAACCATACAGGCACTTAATAACTATTTCTTAAATTAAAATGACTGAAATCTAACACGTTACAGACCTTTCCTCTGAAGCAGAAAGAATATGAGGCTCAAACAAATGCCAAACATGGTCATCTCTCTCTCTTTTTTTCCAGACTGACTTCCTTTTTGTTATAAAACATTAAGATTATTTTCTCTTTCTGTCTCTCTGAACTTTTTTATTCCTTTTAATCTTTAATTATAAAGCTCTCAAGAGGTTTTTTTTTTTTTTTTTTAAATCTACAACTACCTCTTAAGCATGTTCTTTTGCTTCTTCTGTGATAATTTCTAATCTATCATTAGGCTGTTAAGTAAACCTGAAGGGGTAAGCTATTCCTTTTGAGATTGCTAAAGAGAGGTAATTGTCCTTCCTTCAGTAGTAGGAAAGTGGTAAAAAGGTTTTTTTTTAAAATATTTCTTCCATCACACATATATCATTAGCCTCTACAAATAAACGGGATTCAGTAGTTTTAGTACAATTTAAATATATCTTAGAAACCAGACGATGAAGATATCAGAAAAATACATTTTATCTACATGTATTTGAGAAATACATTTTATTTCTCAAATAATTAGATGAAAACAATACATACGCTCATTGTTGACTTGTGATAGACTTCAGAGACATGCAAAAGACAATCCTTGCCTGATCAATACGAAGCCTGTTTCAAACTTTGAAGATAAAAAAGAATCACCAAATCTGAATCACTAATGCTAAGAGTATTGTTAATTACAAATTGGGGGTAATAGAATATAATCTAATAGTAAGAGAAAAACAACCAAATTCTTTGGGAAACTTCTGTTCTTGATTTTTAAGTACTTCTGTGATCAAAGCACGTAGTTTGTGATAAGACTATTTCTCAAAAACTCAAGCTCTAAAAAGTCCTTCTTTTTTAGCCTAATGTTCCTAGATTTCATAATTCACAAGGCTTCTTATCCCCGCCTTCAAATCTCTGCACATTATGAGTATCATATAAGAAAAAAGCGTTTCAAAGATTTTTATCTTATCTATTTCTAAATCTCCTCTCAGTCTACGCAATGTTGTCAACTAGAGAACCAGATAGGCAACTTTGAATATCCTGAGCAAGATTGCACAACAACTCTCAAGTATTTTCTTAGCATATTTTGTATTGTAAAATGGCAGAAAGAGAGTTAAAGTATTGATTTTTTTTTTTTTTGTCTAGTATATATCTTCTGGTACTTTAGTACAATTGTACTGTTTACAAAAATTCAAATAAACTTTAAACATCACCCAAAATGCAGGTTTTAGGGAACTCTACTAGAGTATTACAAAACTCCTGGTAAGGGTCAAAGCCACTTAATATACTTAAATACACCAAGTAATGGGAGTACCAAAAAGAAGTGAGAAATCTCACAGGAAAGCAATAGAGAAGAATTAAAAAAAAACATCTGTCTGTAAGAGAATGGCGCCTTGAAACAGAAACTTAACTGCAGTGTGTTTTCTCAAGGTCCGTGAGAAAAAAAGGACAGGGGAGAAACAGGGTAAGAGACACAGAGTTCAGAGTATAGAGAAACCCCACAACTGCAGAGAGGGAAAGAACCTTGGAGGTTTGTCACCCAGCAAGCTTGGTTAAAATTCATGGTTAAAATGAATCCCCTCTACACACACCGGACTACGGTCGCCCAGTCTCTCCCTAATTTAGACGGAAGTCACATCTTTCCGCACCCCCTTCTGCCAATGCCCTCTTTCCACGCACGCTATCACCCACCTCCGAGGACCGTGCCCAGGAAGATGCATTTCTTTTTGTGACGTTTCAGAAAATTCCACATAGATCTCAGCATCTTTAGGCCCCTGAGGTCCGAGCTGCCTAGGGGTTGGGAGTGGTAAACCAGGAAACCGTTCCTTCGTCACCTGGCCCAACTGATCCGGTGGGAGCACGATCGTCCCGCTGGGTGCGCTCCAGAAATCTCAAACGCGACGTTCCGCAGAAACTGTCACCGGAGCGGAAAGGGGGCGTGTACTACAGCCGAGCAGCTGCGCTTTCTGTTGCTGTCGCCGCGGCACCGCCGCCGTTCCCTGGCCCGGAGCTCCCAAGTCCGTCTAGAATTCGCTCCCGGGTGCCGTGCCCGTCAGCTCGTCCGGAAACAGTGGCCCACAGGCGCCGCGTTCCGCTGCCAGAGCTCCTCCTCTGCGGCGGCCTCGAGAGTTGAGAGCTGCGGACCCGGTGCCGCATGGAGGCAAAGGCGACGTCCACGCCGGCTACCGGCGGCGCGTGCTCTGTGTCGGTGGAGGAGACCGAGAAGTGGATGGAGGCGGCGATGTACATGGTGAGTGGGAGTTGCGGCCAAGAACTTTCTCCGGTGGCGGCGGCGCCCTTATCCCGACTCTGGCGTTTGAACAAAAGCCCCGAGTGCTCTTCCTTGTCACCGTAACCACGATGGCGCTCACATTCTCTGAACAGCTGTCTTTACTGCCATGAAATTTGTTTTAGTCCATTCTCACAGTAGCTCCTGGGGAAGGAAGGAAGGAAGGAAAGGAAACATGATTTGTGCTTCACTGGTACGCGGTATGCGCCAAACAACCCTATTCTGATTCTTGTTGGCACGTGCTGCCTCCTCTTCCTGTGGACACAAACTCATAAATCCTCAAAGTAACATTTTTTTTTGTGTTTTTTGGCCCTTCCAACATACCTAGTAGAAGGAACGAAGCTGAGGATGGGAAAGATTTTTCTGGTGGAGAGCAGTATAAAAACAAGTACCTACTACCACCTACTCTTCCTGCGTTCATTCTGCTTCTTTCTGCAACTTCCCTCACTTACTTCAGGACTGACGAATGAGAGGACTCTAATCAGATTTGCATATAATCCAATTTGTATGTCGCTGGGCTGCTAACTAAAAGGTTGGAGGTTCCAATCCACCCGGAGGCGCCTTGGAAGAAAGGTCTGGCAATCTACATACAAAAAAATAAGCCACTGAAAACCCTGTGGAGCACAGTTCTGCTCTGACACACTTGGGGTTGCCATGACTGGGAGTCTACTGGAAGGCCAACTGGTTATGCACTGCTAGGTTTAAGATTAGACCAGAAGCACTCCTAAAACCAAACCGTTGCCATCTAGTTGATTCCCGCTCATAGCAACCCTATAGGACAGAGTAGAACTGCTCCACAGGGTTTCCAAGGCTGTAATCTTTATGGAAGCAGATCACCAGGTCTTTTGTCCCTCAGAGCTTCTGGTGGGAGCTACTGGTTGAACCACCTGACCTTTCTGAGCACTTAACTGTTGAACCACCAGGGCTTCTTATACACACAAATACGTATATATATGTATACACACACAGACATGCATATGTATAGCCATATACATAGAGAGATTGATTATTGATTGATTGATTTTAAGGATTGTGAGGCCTAGTAAATCCAAAATTTGTAGGCCAGGCAGACTAGAAACTCTAGCAGGATATCTGTGTTATAATCTTGAGGCAGAATCCTTCTCAGAAACTTCAGTTTTTGCTCTTAAGGCTTTCAACTAATTGCATCAGGCCTACTTACATTACTGAGGGTAGTCTCCTTTACTTAGAATCAATTGACTGTAAATGTGAATCACATCAACAAAATACTGCCACAGCAACATCTAGACCAAATAACCAATTACTATAACCTAGCCATCAACAAGCCTATCAGTCTGAGAGGTAGAACATTTTGGAAGGCAACCTGGCATAATATAATTACTAGCTGCAAAAGTGTTTGTATCATTTGACCCAATAATGTGGTTCTGTGGCATTTATCTTAAGGAAATAATTTAGATAAAAGCAATGATTGTCATTTCAGTGTTATATATAGCAGTGAAAACCAGGAAGTATTTCAAACTTCCAATAAAAGGGAATTGGTTAATTGTGGTGTTATTACTGGTATAAAATAACATGCAGTTATTAAAATTATTGTGGATATTACCCATTGGCATCGAGTCTATTATGACTCACAGCGACCCTATAGGACAGAGTAGACTTCCCTGTAGGATTTCTAAGGAGTGGCTGGTGGATTCAAACTGCCAACCTTTTGGTTAGCAGCCTGAGCTCTTAACCACTGTGCTACCAGGGCTCCGTTATGGATATTAGTTATAAGCATAATGTTAAATATCACTTTGGTAAGTAATAAATATCAAAGTGATATTTAACATTATCCTTATACCTAAGCATAGTGAAATATCATGGTGATATTTAACATTAAACAAGCAGAAGGCAAATTATTTTATACTGTACATATAGGCTTAGAAGTTAGATAGACCTATGTTTAAACCCTAGAATGGCTACTCACTAGCAAAGTGATCCCATAAAGATTACAGCCTTGGAAACCCTATGGGACAGCTCTACTCTGTCCTGTAGGGTTGCTATGAGTCAGAATTGACTCAACGGCAATGGGTTTGGTTTTTGGTTTAACCTTTCAGCCTCAGTGCCCTCTTTTGTAAAATGGAAATATAATATCTGTCTCACAGGGTTGAATAGATTGAAAGAGATATTTGTAAAGCACTTACTATAATATGCTCAATAAATAGAACTATTATTTTTATCAAATGGACAAAGAGTAAAGGAGGAGGACACACAAAAATAATGAGTTAACATGGTAAAATTCTGGGTGATTTTAAAGAAATTTATCAATATATTTTTGTAGTAAAAATGTAAATACCTAATTCAAGATATAGGGTTAAAAAAATTAAACCATAGAAGAACCAGTAGTAAATAAATGGTACCAAAAAACAACAACAACAAAAAAACCAAACCTGTTGCCATCAAATCAATTCTGACTCATAACAACCCTGTAAGTCAGAATAGAACTGCCCCATAGGGTTTCCAGTGAGCAGCTGGTGGATTCGAACCGCCAACCTTGTGGTTAGCATCTTGAGCTCTTAACCACTGTGCCACCAGGGCTCCACAAATAAAGCATTTATATGTTGCAGTGGCCAAGAACTGTTTAAAGTATAACACCAAAGGCTGAAAACATAAAAAAAAATGGATACTAGGTTTTAATTATGTAAACATTGAAAACTTCTGCATGTTAAAAAAGACAAGATACAAAGTAACAAAGCAAATGACAAAGAGAAAATATTTGCAATGTATATAAAAGGCACTAGTTTTTAAACCTTAATAAATTAAGAACCTTTATAAAGTTAAAAAAAAAAATGTGCACCCTGTTTTAGTTGTCTAGTGCTGCTGTAACAGAAATACCACAATGGGTGGCTTTAACAAACAAATTTATTTTCTCAACAGTTTAGGAGTCTGGAAGTCCGCACTCAGGGTGCTGGCTCTAGGGGAAGGCTTTCTCTCTCTGTTGGCTCGGGCGGAAGGTCCTTGTCTCTTTTCAGCTTCTGTTTCTTGGTTCCTGGGAGATGTCATGTGGCCTAGCATCTTTCTCCATCTGTGCTTGCTTGCTTATGCCTAATCTGCTCTTTTATATCTTAAAAGAGATTGACTTAAGACACGCCCTGTACTAATACTGTCAAATTATTATAACAAAGAAAACCCATTCCAAAATGGGTTTATAACCATAGGTATAGGGGTTAGGATTTACAAGACATGTTTTAAGGGAGCACAATTCAATTTATAACATACCCTAATACTGAAAAGATCAAAGGATATGAGCACAATATTTCTAAGAGAAATATAAATAGCCAGCAAGTAAGTGAGAAGATGTGCTATTTCACTAGTAATAAATGAAATTCAAATGAAAAAGAGACACTTTTTCACAAAAAGGTACAGGTGAAAAAAAGAATAATGTTTGGTGTTGTTAAGAGTATATATGTGATGAGTTTGCTAGTTGGTAGGAACTGAAATTGGGGCAAACTTTCTAGAGGACAATTTGACTGTGAAGATAGAAAAAGCTTTAATACTGTGTGCTTTGACCCAGTAATGCTCTTTATAGATTTTTCTTCTTTTTTTCCCCTAAAGTATTTCGCTGTTGGAGAAAGTATGTTTAGAAGCTAGAAATCAAACCCATAGATAAATCACTCTTCTAGATACTGATTGCATTTCCACCATTCCACCTAGTTGCCTCTATGTCACTGAATTTGACATAGTTGACCACCCTTCCTTCTTGAACCAATTTTTTTCTGGGACCTTCCGTAATACCACACTCTCCTGGTTTTTCTCATTTACTTTCCCATTATTTATTATTATTTTTTAGTTTTTCATTTTGAAATAATGATACAGCCACAGGAACTTGCAAATATATATGTATATATATACATATATATATGTATAGGGAGGTCCAGGTACCCCTGACACAGTTTCCCCCAATGGTAATCTTGTTTTAACTTCAGTACAATATCAAAACCAGGAAAATAACATTGGTATGGTCTACAGAGCTCATTCAGATTTCACCAGGTTTCGAGCACTCATTTGTGTGTATAGGTGGTGTAAGTAGTCTGTGCAGTTTTATCACATTTGTGTAACCGCCACCACAATCAAGCTATAGGATGTTCATTACCTCTCCCTCGTGCTACTGCTTCATAGCCAACTCTCCTCCCAAACCCCTCACCCCGGCAATCACGAATCTGTTCTCCGTTTCTATAATTTTGTCATTTCAGGAATGTTATGTAAATGGAATCATTCAATATGTAACCTTTCGGGACTGACTTTTTTCACTGAGCATAGTTCCTTTGAGATCTCTCCAAGTTGTTGAGTGTATTGCTGTGTAGTATTTCATGGTAAAGATGTACCAGAGTTTGTTTAACCATTCACCTAAACCAAAAAACCAAACCCATCGCCTTCGAGTCAATTCTGACTCATAGTGACCCTACAGGAGTGAAGGACATTTGGGTTGTTTCTGATCTTGGGCTATTATAAATAAATTGCTGTGAACTTTTGCGTATGTACGTGTACTTATGTATTGCATGAGTGTAAGTTTTCATTTTTCTGGGATAAATGCAAGTGTAACTGCTGAGTCAAATGATAAGAGTGTTTAATTTTTAAACTAAATGGCTGCACCATTTTACATTCCCATGAGCAATGCACGTGGTTCCAATTTCTCCACATCCTCACCAAGACTTGTTAGTTTCAAGTTTTTCTGATAATTGCCTTCCTAGTGGTGTAAGGGGTATCTCATTGTGATTTTGATTTGCGTTTCCCTAATGATTAAAGACACTGAACACCTTTTCATGTGCTTGTTGGCCGTTTGTTTATCTTCCTTGGAATAATTTTTATTCAAGTCCTTTGTCCGTTTTTAAATTGGGTTGTTTGTCTTTTTGTTGTCATGTTGTAGAAGTTCTTTATGTATTCTGGATATTAAACCCTTATCAGATATATAATTCCAAAATATTTTCTCCCATTCTGTAGGTTGTCTCTTCACTTTCTTGATAATGTACTTTGATGCACAAAAGTTTTAAGTTTGATGAAGTTCAGTTTATCTTTTTTTTCTTATGTTGCTTATGGTTTTGGTTTCACATCTAAGAGTCCGTTGTCAAAAACAAGGTCTTTGCGCTTTATCCCTGTATTTTCTTCTAAGAATTTTATGGTTTTAGTTCTTATATTTAGGTAATTCATCCATTTTGAGTCAATTTTTGTGGGTGATATGAAATCTAGTTTCTTTTTTTTTAAATTGAGGTATACTTCACATACAGTGAAATGCACAGATTTCAAATGTACCGTTCAATCTATTTAAAAAAACGCAAAAATCTGTGTAACTCACACCCTATCATGATATAGACCATTTTTATAACCCCAGAAAATTTCCTTATGCCCCTTCCCAATATATGTACACATCCTCCTCCCTGAAGCAACCACTCCTCCAGTTTCCATCGTCATAGTGTACTTTTGCCTATTTTAGACTTCATATCAAGGGAATCATACAGTATGATGTGTGCTTTTGTGTTTGACTTCTTTTATCTGGCACAATGACTGAGATTTGTCCACAATGTACACTATATCAGAAGTTTGTTCCTTTTTACTGCTGAGTAACGTTCCATTGTGTGAATATGTCACTTGGCTTATCCATTTGTTTGTTCATTGACACCTTACTGTTTCCAGTGTTTGCTATTATGAATAAAGGCCATGATTCCCAGTATTTTGTGATTGTCCACCATTTTGTCATCTGATACAATTTTCCTATGTGTTGTGAATCCTACCTCTGTGATATTAATGAGACAGGATTAGAGGCAGTCATGGTCTACAACAACGAAATTGTGGGGAAGGGAAGAAATGAAGACAATCAAACTATGAACGTTCTTTTACAAGGCTTTTTGTGGACCTATATTTTCCTTTCTCTTGAATAAATACTTAGGAGTGAATTTGGCCACAAGCTATAGGTATGTTTAATTTTTAAAGAAACTTCAAAAATATTTTCTAAAGTGGTTGTACCATTTCTACATAGAGTGCTCCTAAACCTTTATTGTTTCACTTAGAGCAGAACCTATGGGCACAGGGCAATATCCAGCCAGAATCTTCTTTTTTGCTATTTGGGACCATGCAGGATAATTTCTATAATTTTTGGAGAAACAAACAAAAATAAAAATAAGTAGAATTTTTTCAACAAAGAGAAAATTTTAATAAAGGACTTGTAAATGTTACTTATTCTACCTCCTTGTAAAGAGAGATCTATTATCTCTGAAAAGAAGCACATAAAGCTGGCGACTTAAGAACAACTGTCAGTATCAATGTTTTAGTCACATCTGCTTCCCAGTAGAGGAAAAATCAGGAGGCTGAGGACCTATGAAGCGAATTTATCCCTGAATCTCCCTTAATGTGGACACAACAGAGAACACAGCATTAAATACCACTATATTTGAGTGCAGAAAAAGTTCAGCTGCATTTCTTTGTTCTAGTGTTTGAACATGTGTATACTGTTCATGCTGAATCTGTTTCTTGACTGTAGTCTTCTCAAGTATTGAGCTTCACATCTTAGATTTTCCACTTTGTCTTTCAGGCCAAAGATGCTCTAGAAAATCTTGAAGTTCCTGTTGGCTGCCTCATGGTCTACAACAATGAAATTGTGGGAAAGGGAAGAAATGAAGTCAATCAAACTAAAAATGTATGTTAGTTGAATAGTATAATTGAAAGCCTACAGCAGTGATGGTAGGAGTAGAGTGAACATAGCCCAGTTGGAGAGAAGATAGGACTGTATAGTCCTATAAGTATTCAGTGGCAGGGTGGTCTTCTTTAACTTTCCTGTCTCAATGCCTTTGTTTCTGATGATAAAAGTAATACTTGTTTCTTTTTTAAAATTTGGAAAATTCTTAAAAATGAAGTGAAATCATAATGTTAGGGATAATTTTCTATTTCATGTGCTTTAACACTTGAGTGAAACTTAAGAACATCTTTTTTTTTTCTCAATAGGGATTTTATTACATAGGAGTGTTAGTATGGAAGAAATGAGTCTATCTCCACTTTAAACCAATGTAATATACGAAACATCCCACTTTATAAGACACAGAAATTTAAGTTGTAAAGCGTTCTTTAGTACCTTTAAATATTGTGTTCCTTCTAGCAAATGAAAAGATTATCCTCAATTTATAACTTTGGAAGTATAAAAGGATTGTATAAAGGAAGCTGTTTCTTTATCAGATGACTTAGCTGAGTGAAGCCTCCATCAGCTGATGTCTCTGTACCTCCATGTGGTGTGGACACTTTAATAGCCTGTGTCTTTTAATTCATTTTGGTTAGGTCGGGGAGTTCAAGGTTTAAGGCAATGCTTCTGAAACCCGGTATCACCATTATCATGGCGTCACAATGATAAGCATACATGGGAAGTGTAAGTGAAATATCAAATTTTATGATTTTTAAAAAAAGGACTGATGGACTCCAGGATAGCTAATAACCATAATGTCACTCACATGGACTTGGATCCTATTGTGCTATCTTGCAAACCAGAGAATGAGCTGATATTGGTACTGATGCACTGGGAGCTTTCAAGTTCATCCATCACATCTATCAAAACAGAAGAGAAAACTGAAACTCAGCAAAAAATGTGCAAAGTAGAAACCCAGATTCACTGGGCAATTATCACGAGGATATCAAAATACCTGTGAGAGAAATAATAAGCATAATATAGCAACTAGTGAGTTGGGAATGGAACTCTGTAAGGATTAAGCAATTTTGTCATTTCATATAATTGCCATATCTGCCTATTAGTATTTTGTGGTTAGGTATAATATCTTTTACATGAAAACTTTGAATGTCCTATCAATACCTATCTTAACCCCTCAATGACCTGAGTTTCTGCTGTACCTTTAAATTAACCTGTATTTATTTTGGTATTCTATGTCATATAGAAGATTACCCTGCAAACACAGGATAGGAAGACTCTTGATCCCAAGTGAGGAGATCTGAGTTCTACTCTTGGCTCCTAGGCACCACTACCTCTCCCAGCTGTGTGTCTTTAACCCATCCTAACCCAGCCTGGATTCTGTTTCTTTAGCAGTAAAATAGGAAGTTGACTGCGATGATTCAGTTCAACAATTATTTTTTGAGAATTACAGGACAATTGATTCAGAAGTTCTGAATCTGATTTTTAAAAACCTCCCAAGTTGGGAACACATTTTTCTTAAGCTCCCCAGTTGATTCTGGTATGTGGTCAGGTTCGAGAACCTCTTCTCTGAAGCACCTTCCAGCTCTGAGTTTATAATTCTGTGACGTGCCCGTGGAGCCCCTGGGCCAGCATGACTCCCATCTGCCTCTGGCTTCTGTGGCAGCTGGGGCCTCTGTGGCAGCACTTCCACACATTGCCCTGTGTCACAGGCAAATGAGTGCTTTCCTGTTTGCACCCCCGCCCCGACCATGTTCTGCTTGTTAAGTACAGAGACTTTTTATCTCACACAGAATTTTGCACAGTGCCTTGTTAGCACTCAGTGTAAGTTTGTTAATAAATGCTACTGTCTCAAATATTGTAAATAAATATTTCATATAGTATCTGTGATTTGCATTCTATTATTTTAGTTAGGGGAAAGAAAAGGGAGAAGAGAGCTCACAGAGGACATATTATAGCATTATGCAGCACAGTGCCTCATGCTACTCAGATTACATCATGAGGTGTCCCCATTGCTGCTGAGTCAATTCCAACTCATAGCAACCCTGTAGGGCAGAGTAGAACTGCTCCATAGGGTTTCCAAGGCTATAAATCTTTACAGAACCAGACTATACAGGTGTATATATACCAGTGTACTCCATTTTATACATGGGGAAACCAAGGCTTAGAGAAGTTATGTAATTTGCCCAAAGCCACATAGTTAGTAATGTCACAGTCAGGATTCAAATGTTGGTGTGTAGATTCCAAGTGCTGTGTGGTGTCTCCTGTACTCTCTTGCCTCCCATGAGGTACTTGAGACCAATACCTCATCTCTGCTTCTCCCTAGAGTCAGCGTGTATATAAAGCTCATCCCAAAGAAAAAATAAGTGATGTCATTCCAGTAAAGTAAATATAGATTTGCTTAGCATGCGGTCAGAGAGAGCTTTGAAAACACATTTGAAACTGGAGCATACGCTTATGAAAACTTCAAACTTCCCTTAAAATAGCCAGAAACCATAGATCTATTCTTTTGAGACTTATCTTCTCTATGGCACTTTAATTGAAAGTACTTCCCTTAAGATACTTGACTAAAAATGTAGCATGATGCATACAGCATCTCAGATTAGGTGTCTTCTGTTGGTGAGGTTATGACACTTGAACAGAGAGGAACACATTGTCAACTGCTAAGGGTGTCCTGAAATCTTTATTCATTAAAATGCTGGCAGAAATGATAGGCACAAAAGGTTATCTTTTTGTTGAAATTATTTGTAAATTGCAGTTATATGCAGGCAAAATATCAATCCAAGCATTTCTCTTTTTTCCAGGCTACTCGGCATGCAGAAATGGTGGCCATCGATCAGGTCTTAGATTGGTGTCATCACAGTGGGAAGAGTCCTTCTGAAGTGTTTGAACACACTGTGCTCTACGTCACCGTGGAGCCCTGCATCATGTGCGCAGCTGCTCTGCGCCTGATGAGTATCCTTGGACTTCATGGGGTGATGTCTTGTCCCCTCCCTATGAACACAAAAACGATTATACATATAACCCGTTCTGGTATTTATGAAACAAATCATAGGAGGTTCATGTTACAAAAGATTGTGCCCCTGGGCCAAAAAAAAAAGATAGTAAAAAAACCTTTTCATTTTTAGGTCAATAAAAATATTACTATTATACCAGTAAGCTAGAGAAAGAAAAGCTTAGCACTAAACTTAAACTGCTATTAAGGCTCAATCATCAGTTAAGTTAAAGTAGATTGTAAAACACTGTGCATAGGGAAAGAACTGAAGAATGGACACCTAAGTTTTGCCTTTGGATAGTGGATTACAGGTGATTTGCAATTTTTCTTTCTTTTTATCTGTTTTTGTTTAAAAAGTAAATAAGTAATAAACAAATCATTTATGATATAACTGTAGGTAAATGGAAAATTGATAAAGTTGCAGCTCTTTGGGTTGGGTATTGCAAGTAAGCAACACAAATACAGAGTGGAACAGGTTAGTCACTAAACATCTTTTTAAAAAATTTATTTGAAAATTCCTAAACTCTCAGTTTCATACTTGCGTATTTTTCTAAGTATTGTTTTGCTATATGTGTATGAATAATTTTATCAGAGATTTTTTTATGATAAAATGTATAATCTATACTTTATAAAAGAGGAGTTATAGTTAACAAGAACCCTAAATTCATCTACTTTAAACATTGATGTGAATCATACAAGGTGATAGATCAGACTTCTACTTTATAGAACAGCAATCTAGACCTTGAGGATGAAATACTTTATCCAGTGCCAAGAACCCTATTACTGGGAGACTTAGAACCAGAACCAAATCGTCTTGCTTTTGACTTGAGTTATACTTACATGTAAATTAGGGCACAGTGCCTGGTTGTTGCATGAATGGATAAACTCTTGCTATACGTTATCCTGATTGAAAACATGACCCATGAACTTTGAGTTCAAGTCCTATTTGCTAATCAGACAGTACTGTATCTGATTTCAGCTATCTTCATTCTTCTTCCCTGCTAGATTGTGAACTTTTTGAGACTGTGTATGAGACTTACATCTCTTCTCGTGTTGTTCTAACCCCAAAGGGGTTGATGCGTTTAAGTAACACTTAGCAGTTTATCAGTGCTAAGTTAAAAAAAAAAAAAAAAAAAAAAGCCAGTATTTGTTGAATTTGTGCTCTATGCATGCAAATGTTTTAAGCATTTTGTATGTATTAACTCATTAAATCTCATAGTTACACTGTGAAGTAGATATTCTTTATTATCCCGATTTTACAGATGAGGAAACTGAGACATAGAGAACATCCTACTTGAACTAGAGAAAATGGTCCATTGTTTTCTTCTGAGGGTTTGCCTTTCACATAGCTGTTGAGTGAGTGAGAAGCTAAGTGCATCAAGATATTAAAAAGATGGCGGACAAGGTTGAGGGGGGAAACCAGCAAACTAACCAGTGGTGGGTACTTACTAGGGAAATGACTATGTTATTCCACTAGATTGGAAGTGAATTGAAAATAGAAGAATAACCTTCATATTGGTCTAACACCAATTTGTAAATGAATCATACATTTCCCTCAAATACTGGGGATATGCAAAACCAAGCCTTAGGCAACTGATGTGCTTTTATAGTGAATAGTTTTCTTCCTGTGAAAATGATGTGGGGGTGGAGTTTGACCTGTTCTAATTTCACAAGGGGAAAGGAGAATCATGATCAACAGTACAAGGCTGATTCCTATGAGGCGGAGGTCAGACATGCCTCCTCTCTCCACCATCTTTACCAATTCTGACACCATCTGTCCTTCCTATGGCATTCTCTACTTCTCTGCTGAGTCTGATAATTCATTGCAGTGGCCACACTGAACTCGCAGACAATACTTATGATTATGAAATTTATTAGGGAAGTAATAGGTTATGATTCAGGTTCAGGAACACTCAGTTCTTCCGTCAAGATGGCCTCTTCCCAGCTGTGCCACAGGCATGGCCTTCGGCCTCTGCCCTGCTCAGGCAAGTGTTACAGAGCTCTTTTAGCTCTGCCGATAAGAGCCCCAAGGCACCCCACTCTGCCAGTAAGCTTTGGCCTGAAGGTGCTCATTTCTAACTCCGAGGGTCAGCAAACCTAGCCCCACCAAGGGCCCAGAGGCACCCTACTCCACCAGCAAGGCTCCTGCCTGAAGGCACTCAGGTTTCTTGCTCCCTGGGCTGGGGAGCCCACTGCGCCATCTTCTGCTGGTCTCTCCTGCTGCCATTTCTCTGCCACTGCTTCTCACTATCTTCAGTGTTACAGCTCTTCCTCTCTTGGTCTCCTGGTTCCAGGAGCTTCTCAGCACAAGGATCCCAGGTCCAAAGGGTGCAGTCTACTCCTGCCTCTTCTTCCTTGGTGGTGATGATATCCTCAATTTCCCACCTCTGGCATGGCTCACTTTAAGCCTAGCAGGATGGCAAAACTGACCAATTCCCTTGTTAGGGTTCCATATACCTTATTAGCATGGTCCCACTCAATCATTTGGTGGGAGTTACAAGACCATGGTGAGAAAGGCCACACAAAAGTGATCCATCACACCGCACTTCATAACTCTCTGTCTCCACAGCTAGACAGTGGAGTGTGGTAGAAGAACAGCAGGAGTCTAGATCTCAGCTTAGCACATCACATCATCTTTTGGGACCTCCTCTTCCTCATTTATAAAATGATTGGATCAGAGGTTTGCAAACTTCATATCTGCCTCAGGAAGGTTGGGGGCCAGGAAGAGGGATCAAGGGTCAATGTTGAATTTCTCCCTCCCCATCCTGCCTCACAGAGCAGCTCAGCTTTAGTCTATTTTTGGGGTGGGGGGTAGGGGATGGGAAGCACAGGTTATATTTTCTTGGGGAAAAGAAGAACAGATACTCTGTTATTTTAAAATGGTGAAAATCCCTGAATTAAATTTCTGCCTCTTTTTTGGCTCAAATCCTCTGATGATTCTGAAAAAAATGATTTAGAAGAGACTAGAAGAGAGCACTTAACTGTGAGCAGCTCGCAACTACATACTCAGTTTTCATTCTGTTTGTACCTAATGGATGCTAATTTTTAAACACTTTAAACCTTTCTTTTTTGTGTAAGTGAATCATAGGATTTTTAAAAGTGAGCCAAAACTTGATTGTTTTTCAGATTAGGCATGAGCTTTCCTTTCCAGAACGGCTGGTATAAATTTGCTGTAATTTTGTCACGATACATACTTGAACTGCACAGGACCTTAATTTTTTCTTAGAAATCCCGCTGGTTGTATATGGCTGTCAGAATGAACGATTTGGTGGATGTGGCTCTGTTCTAAATATTGCCTCTGCTGACCTACCAAATACGGGGAAACCATTTCAGGTAAAGTGAACTGCTTATGCTTTTTCTTTCTTTCTAATTGATCTTTTTATGGGCATGTAAATAGTTAATGTGTGGTCATAGATACCAAGTAACCATGATAGGACCAGACAGGACCTTAGAACCTCTGGGTGAGTTCATTTATGCCTCAGTGTAAAGGTACAGGTAATAATTACTAAATGTTTTGATCAAAGATGATAGAGAAGAAGCCTGATTAAAAGGGGTGAAAATGCAGAACAATTTCAAATTCTCATGGAATCCAGAATTTCTGGAGCCATTGAGGCTGGATGAACCCTGTCTTAGTTATCTAGTGCTGCTGTAACAGAAATACCACAAGTGGATGGCTTTTAACAAAGAGAAATTTATTCTCTTACAGTCTAGTAGGCTACAAGTCCAAATTCAAAGCATCAGCTCCAGGGGAAGGCTTTCTCTCTCTGTCAGCCTTGGAGAAATGTCCTTGTGGTACATCAGTCTTCCCTTGGTCTGAGAGCATCTCAGTGCAGGAACCTCAGATCCAAAGGACATGCTCTGCTCCTGGCACTGCTTTCTTGGTGGTATGAGGTCCCCTGTGTCTCTGCTCACCTCTCTCTTTTATATCTCAAAAGAGACCGGCTTAAGACACTACCTAATCTTGTAGACTTCATCAATATAACTGCTACTAATCCATCTTATTACATCATAGTGATAGCATTTACAACACGTAGGGAAATCACATCAGATGATAAAATGGTAGACAATCATACAATACTGGGGGAATCATGACCTAGCCAAGTTGACGGGTATTTTGGGGGGACACAATTCAACCCATGACAAACCCCTGAAGCTATTGCTCTGTGATAATCTTTAAACTTTAGACCAAAAATATCCCCTAAAGTCTTCTTTAAACCAAACAGTTTAGCTTAACTAGTAAAGAATGTCTGTCTTGAGCATTGTGCTCTTTTAAAGAACTATTTATATGGGATCAAATTGACAATAGCAACTTGAAGCTTAGGGGGCAGTGAGTTTATATCAATGGTGGAGCAACAATTTGGAAAAGGAGGATGAGAATAATTGCACAACTTGAAGAATGTAATTAATGTCACTGAACTGTGTATTTAGAAATTGTTGAATTGGTGTACATTTTGCTGTGTATATTTTCAACAACAATAGAAAACAAAAAACAAGCAAAAAAACTACAGGTAATAATTTCCAGATGAGTGCCCGGCTCTCTTAATTAACAGAAGCTCTCCTGAAGGAGTCCTCCACCTTCCCTGACAACTGCTGACAATTTTCACCAACACCTTTATTCCTGAAGATAAACCACTACTGGTGTTTTTCCTCAATGAGTGTAACCAGCTCCATACTATATGGATTTCATATGGAGCTTGACCTCTGTCAGTGACCAAAAAACCTGTTGCCATCAAGTTGATTCCTACTCATAGCGACCCTTTAGGACAGAGTAGAACTGCCCCATAGAGTTTCCAAGGAGTGCCTCGTGGATTCGAACTGCTGACCTTTTGGTTAGCAGCCGTAGCTCTTAACCATTATGCCACCAGGGTTTCCATTTACAATGAACAGACAATATTTTTGTACCAATTAAAGCATTTTGCTTGATTGCCACATACTATTTTTGGTGTCTAGCAATCAATCCGGGGTCCCCGGGTAGCGCAAATGTTAATATGCTTGACTGCTAACTGAATGGTTGGAGGTTCGAGTCCACCCAGAGGCACCTGGGAAGAAAGGCCTGGTGACCTACTTCTGAAAATCAGCCATTGAAAACCCGATGCAGCACAGTTCCACTCTGACACACATGGGGTTGTCAGGAGTCAGAGTTGATGGGATGGCAACTGGTTTACTAGTTTAGCTATCAATCACTATATTTTTTACTATTTATTTTTTTCTACCCTTTTTAATCTTGAAATTTCCCCCAAACCCAACAATCCACATTTCCTTAATCTATTCTTAGAAACTTTACTTTCCTTTAATCTTGCCACCTCTCCCAAATTTTTCATGTTTAATGCTATGAGCATTAGAAATTTCAGTTTCTTGTTTGTCTGGCTGAATTTCCTTCAGAGACGGGCCTGTGGACCCGTGCCACGTTTCATAAACTGGTTTGATTGTTTTTCTCTCCAAAATTTAAGGTTAATCCTAAAAGCATTTATGCTTTTAAAAGAAAAGGGTTTAACAAATGCTGGGCATGGTGATCAGTCTGCTTCAAAGACCTCAGATCGTTTTAGCAGAATCTGCTGAGGACCTGTAAGGGCTAAATTTGGCTGGATCCCACTGAGAACAAGTTTTTTGAAATCTTCTATCTTGAGTTTTCCCAGCTGGACACTAGCTTTCCAAACAGCTCATGTACTTTTGAGAATAAATGACCTTAACATTGCATCGGAGAAGAGAATATGATGGGAGAATGGAGAGTAAGTGGTACAGTTAGCTTGATTATTAAAAACATCTGCAAAGTGATTTGACTTTTCCAATCACTTCTTTTAGTGGCTCCAATTTTGCTTATATACGACTTTGCAAATGAGTTACTGACTTTCTCTGCTTCATTTATGAGAAAGATTTAAAGAGTTACTCAGAGTTACTGAGCAAAACAAAGATGAGCCTGTGGATGTCACACCTAGGTGGAACGTGTCCCTCAGACACGTTGGTGATGTGAGTGCACAAAAACATCCCTCTCTTACACGTCTGCCTGAGCCAGAAAGAAACTTCATTTGCAGTGTGCCTGCCTGGCCAAATTGGCTCAGCAATTGAAAATGAAGGGCCATGGTTTGAAGCCAGATCTCTAGTTTTGATGCCATGTTATGTTTTTTGAGGTGTTTTGAGATTCTGAAGAAAACAGTGGTACCCTAGGCTTCTGGATGCTGTGTCTTCCTTTATTTGGCTGGATGAGGGCAGGGAGAAGGATGCTATTTTCTTATTGCAGAATTATAGATTTTTGAAAAATACTATATTATAAGCAGGAGCCCTGGTGGTGCAGTGGTTAAGCACTTGACTGCTAATCAAAAAGTTGGTGGTTCGAACTCACCAGCCGCTCTGCAGGAGAAAGATGTGGCAGTCTGCTTCTGTAAAGTTTACAGCCTTGGAAACCCTGTAGGGCAGTTCTACTCTGCCCTGTATGGTCGCTATGAGTCAGAATCAATTTGACAGCAATGGTTTTTTTTTTTTTTAATATTATAAGTAGCATTAAAATTCGTAGAGTAAACCTATAGAACTGTTCTTCTCAAAGAAGATGAGGATTAATTTATAATGCATACCTGCTCTGTTACTTATTACTTTTAATAAGAATGTATTTTTTTTTTATGAAAGTCTCAAATTTATAGCTATAATGGATACTTGAAAACATTACCATGGTATTTTAGAGAGAGAGATGCAGTTCCCTTCTCCTCCTGTGACTCAGTAATTCTTGTCCCTGACTGCATATGAGAATCACTGGAGAGATTTTACGCATGCTAGTGTTGGGTCCCCACCTCAGACCAACTGAATCTGAGTGGGAGGAGTGAACACTGGTAATTTTTGAGAACTCTCAAGTGATTCCAGTGAGCAGCCAAGCTGAGACCCATTGCTCTAACTCCATTTCAGAGAACAGTGCTTTGAGTATGCCACTGGGTGCTTTTGAGAGAGCCAGAGCGAGAAAGAGAGAGAGAGAGAACGTAAGATCCACTTAGTGCAGCAGGAAGTGAAGAGGAGCCAGTGAAAAGACTGACCAATGATGGTCATATGATGAAGTACTGAGAAGCCAAGGGAGGAGAGCATCTAAAAGGAAGCAAGTGTGGTCAGTGGTCTCCACTACAGCAGAGAGTTGAATACGATGGAAAGGAGACCAGTGTTTTGGTAAACTGGGCCCTGTTAGGATATCTCAGAGAGCGGCGTCCATGGAATTCTGGAAGAGCAAGCCAGTGAAGATGAGGTTGAGGAGGAGATGAGAGCTGCAGAAGTGCAGGCCGTGAGTCTGGAGTGTTCCTTCTCAGGGAGGACCAGGATAGCAGCTTAGCTGGTATTCATGGTGGAAAGAAAGTTATTTGTTAGGATGAGGAAGGTTTATGCAGGCTTTGTGGGCCTGGGCAAGAGCAGGTTGAAGACGTAAGGGAAAGACAGGCTCATTCTGAGCCACATCCCAGAGTGGTGCTCCAGTCCCCTGTCATGGTGCTTTCGGCTCTTTCTATCCAATTATCCTGTGCACAGCTTCCTGGCTTGCCTTCCTAGAATCTCTACCCATTGTATCACTCTGTGTACCTCAGCAGGGTTTGATGCATCAAGTCCAAACTCTGACTAGCCTTCAAGGCCCCATGCATTTTGACGTCATTTGATATCTTCAGTTTCTTTGTTTATTGTTGTTGTTAGGTGGCACTGAGTTGGTTCATAGCGACCATATGTACAACAGAATGAAACACTGCCCAGTCCTGCGCCATCCTCACAGTTGTTGTTAGGCTTGAGCCATCGTTGCAGCCACTGTGTCAGTCTATCTCATTGAGGGTCTTCCCTTCCACTTTACCAAGCATGATGTCCTTCTCTAGGGACTGATCCCTCCTGATAACATGTCCAAAGTACATGAGACATAGTCTCGCTATCCTTGTTTCTAAGGAACATTCTGACTGTACTTCTTCCAAGACAGATTTGTTCATTCTTCTGGCATTCCATGGTATATTCAGTATTCTTCGCCAACACTATAATTCAAAGGCATCAGTTCTTTTTCCGTCTTCCTTATTCATTGTCCAGCTTTCACATGCATATGAGGTGATTGAAAATACCATGGCTTGGGTCAGGTGCACCTTAGTCCTAAAAGTGACATCTTTGCTTTTTAACTTTTTAAAGAGGTCTTTTGCAGCACATTTGCCCAGTGCAATACATTGCTTGATTTCTTGATCGTTGCTTCCATGGGCATTGATTGTGGATCCAAGTAGAATGAAATCCTTGACAACTTTAGTATTTTCTCTGTTTATCGTGAAGTTGTTTATTGGTCCAGTTGTAAGGATTTTTGTTTTCTTTATGTTAAAGTGTAATCCATACTGAAGGCTATAGTCTTTGATCTTCATCAGTAAATGCTTCAAGTCCTCTTCACTTTCAGCAGGCAAGACTGTCCTTATCTGCAGATTGCATGTTGTTAATCAGTCTTCTTCCAATCCTGATGCCTCTTTCTTCAAAACAGTCCAGGTTCTCTGACTACTTGCTCAGCATACAGATTGAATAAGTATGGTGAAAGGATACAACCCTGACGCACACTTTTTCTGACTTTAAACCATGCAGAATCTCCTTGTTCTGTTCAAATGACTGCCTCTTGGTCTATGTACAGATTCCTAATGAACACGATTAAGTGTTCTGGAATTCCCATTCTTCTCAATATTATTCATAATTTGTTATGATCCACACAGTCGGATGCCTTTGCATAGTCAATAAAACACAGGTAAACGTCTTTCTGTATTCTCTGCTTTTAGCCAATATCCATCTGACATCAGCACCCACGTCCTCTTCTGAATCTGGCTTGAACTTCCGGCAGTTCCCTGTCGATGTACTGGTGCAACCACTTTTGAATGATCTTTAGCAAAATTTTATTTGTGTGTGATATTAATGATATTGTTTGATAATTTCCACATTCTGTCAGATCACCTTTCTTTGGAATGAGCATGAATATGGATCTCTTCCAGTCAGTTGGCCAGGAAACTGTCTTCCAAATTTCTTCACATAGTCGAGTGAGCACCTTCAGTGCTGTATCCGTTTGTTGAAACATCTCAATTGGTATTCCGTCAATTCCTGGAGCCTTATTTTTCGCCAATGCCTTCAGAGCAGCTTGGACTTCTTCCTTCAGTATCATTGGTTCTTGATCATATGCTACCAACTGAAATTGTTCAATGTTGACCAATTCTTTTTGGTACAGTGACTCTGTGTATCCTTTCCATCTTCTTTTGATGCTTCCTGCGTTCAATATTTTCTCCATAGAATCCTTCAATATTGCAACTTGAGGCTTGGCTTTTTTCTTCACTTCTTTCAGCTTGAGCAATGCTGAGCGTGGGCTTCCCTTTTGATTTTCTAACTCCAGGGCACATTTCATTATAATACTTTACTTAGTCTTCTCGAGCTGCCCATTGAAATCTACTGTTCAGCTCTTTTACTTCATCATTTCTTCAGTTTGTTTTAGCTAGTCAACGTTCAAGAGCAAGTTTCAGAGTCTCTTCTGACATCCATTTTGGTCTTTTCATTCTTTCCTGTCTTTTTAATGACCTTTTGCTTTCTTCATGTATGATGTCCTTGATGTCATCCTGCAACTTGTCTGATCTTTGGTCATTAGTGTTCCATGCATCAAATCTGTTGTTGAGATGGTCTCTCAATTCAGGTAGGATATACTCAAGGTTTTATTTTGGCTCTTGTGGACTTGTTCTAATTTTCTTCAGCTTCAACTTGAACTTGCATACAAGTAATTGATGGTCTGTTCCAGTTGGCCCCTGGCCTTGTTTTGACTGATGATATTGTGCTTTTCCATCATTTCTCCACAGATGTAGTCGATATAATTCCTGTGTATTCCATCTGGTGAGGTCCACATGTATAGCAGTTGTTTATGTTGTTGGAAAAAGGCATATGTAATAAAGAAGTTGTTGGTCTCGCAAAATTCTGTCATACAATCTCGACAGTCATTTTTATCACCAAGGCCATATTTTCCAACTAACTGATCCTTCTTTGTTTCCAACTTTCACGTTCCAATCACCAGTAATTATCAATGCATCTTGCTTGCATGTTTGATCAATTTCAGACTGCAGAGGTTGGTAATAACTTTCCATTTCTTTATCTGTGGCAATAGTGGTTTGTGCGTACATTTGAATAATAGTCGTTTTAACTGATCTTCCTTGTAAGCGTATGGATATTAACCTATCACTGACAACATTGTACTTCAGTCAGGATACATCTTGAAATGTTCTTTTTGACAGTGAATGAGATGCCATTCCTCTTCATTTTGTCATTCCCAGCATAGTAGACCATATGATTGTCAGATTCCAAAGGGCCAATACCAGTCCATTTCAGCTCACTAATGCCTAGGGTATTGATCTTTATGCAGTTCATTTCATTTTTGACAACTTCTAATTTTCCTAGATTCATACTTAGTGTGTTCCATGTTTCAATTATCAGTGGGTTTTTACAGCTGTGTCTTCTCATTTTGAGTCATACCACCTCAGCAAATGAAGGTCCCGTAAGCTTTATTCACTCCACATTATTAAGGTCGACTCTACTTTGAGGAGGCAGCTCTTCCCCAGTCGTATTTTGAGTACCTTCCAACCTGAGGGGCTCATCTTCTGGCTCTATACCAGACAATGCTATTCATAAAGTTTTCATTGGCCAATTTTTCAGAAGTAGACCACTGAGTCTTTCTTCCTAGTCTATCTCAGTCTGGAAGCTCCACTGAAACCTGCCCACCATGGGTGACCCTGCCAGTATTTGAAATATTGGTGGCATAGATTCCAGCATCACAGTAACACGCAAGCCACGACAGTACAATAAACTGACAGATGCATTAGTTTCTTTATACTCCCTCAATTATCACCCCACTACCCAGTCAGCTGGTTTTCTCATCCACAAGCCACGCTTACTTTTCCTGTTTGTTCGAGATGCTCTCCTCTACCTCTAATATTCTCTATCTTTAAGGCAAGTTCGTTTCGTCTCCATGTAATATTTCATATAATTTTATGATTTCTTATTCTTTCACATGTGTTGATTTATTCTCTCCAGTTAGATCCCAAAGATAGACCAAATTGAACACTTAAACATTTTTTTTTTTCTCTAGCAGGGATAGACAAACTTTTTCTGTAAAGGACCAGATAGTATGTATTTTAGCCTTTGTAAGCCACTTACGATCTCTGTTGCATCTTCTTTTGTGTGTGTTTTTAACAACCCTTTAACAATCATTCTTAACTCATCATTCTTAGCTGTGGACTGGATTTGTCCTACTAGGTGTAGTTTGCCAAACCTGACTGTATAGCATGGAACACTCAGTTTGTAACCAGTAAATAAAAGCAAATAAAAATAGCTAGCGCTTAATGAGCATTTACAATGTGCCAGATATTTAACAGGTCTTACCTCATTTGAGGAGCCCTGGTGGCACAGTGGTTAAATCTCTCAGCTGCTAACTGAAGGGTCTGTGGTTTGAACCCACCAGCTGCTCCACAGGAGCAAGATGTGACAGTCTGCTTCTGTAAAGATTTACAGCCTTGGAAACCTAATGGTGCAATTCTCCTCTGTCCTATAGGGTCGCTATGAGTTGGAAGTGACTCGACGGCAGTGGGTTTGTTTTGTTTTTGGTATCTCATTTAATCCTCACAAAATCCTTCTGAATTAGGTGCTCTTATTACCTGTATTGTACACATGAGGAAACTGAGGCACAGAGAGTTTGAACATCTTACCTAAGATCCCATAGCTAGTAACTTTAATAGTAGTAGATTGATAATAATGAGTTGGTTTAGAGTGATGTTTGACTGAGGCAGTATACCTATTCTTTTGGAAATTTACCTTCTTACCCGTGTCACTAATGTTCCTTAAGTGTATTAACATTATCTGAAACCTGTTTACATAATTCTTATGTCTAGATTGCTGTTTTTATGGATACAATGCATATTTTCATATTTTCGTAGACCTATATTCTCACCTCTTTCATTTCATCAGTGCGTTCCTGGATATCGGGCTGAGGAAGCAGTGGAAATGTTAAAGACTTTCTACAAACAAGAAAATCCAAATGGTCAGTTTTTTCCTACTATACGTAGTATATCTCTTCAAACAACCAATATAGAGAGTCTGACATGGGCTTATCTCATCATTTTTTCCCTTTCACAGCTCCAAAATCGAAAGTTCGGAAAAAGGAATGTCAAAAATCTTGAACGTGGTCTGATGAAAGACCCATGTCCCAAAGTGACCTGAGTGGTGAAGTTCTTGGACTGGAAGCTGTTGGCCTCATTGAATCACATGTTTATATACTGTTGTTAATCACCGGGAAAATGTCTCTCATCATTTGCCCTGTTAAGGGAACAAATTAGCACTTCTTAAAAGTCTGACAATTGTAAACAACTATTAGCTTTTCCACAAGCTGAAAGAGCATTTTAAGTGGAGAGGACGGGAATGAAGGTTTGAGGTTTTGGAAATTAGCAAGTTGTGCATGCCCTTCCTGACCAAACCACTGTGTCCAGCCCAGAATAGTACTGACTTTTCGGGTGCAGTGACATGGCGTGTGTCTGGACTGGAGCATGCCATACTATGGACACGCACTCCAGGGCAGAAGCAAATTCCTCACTCTTTGCAGATTTTTGCTTTCATAAAGCATTTCGAAAAAACACATCTTTGACACCAGGTTTGTAAGTGTCATTTAAAGATTTTAGCATATTGCTGTAATAAGACCTTGCTTATGCCTTCTTTGAAGATGAATAGTTTTAAAAATAAAAGATAAAATTATAAATGGGACGATTCCTTCTTTGTTTTTGAGCACGATACTGCTCCAGGCTTCGTCTGTTTACTGTCGGTGAACAAAGCGAAGATCCTTACACTCGTGGACCTTATATTCTAGCACAAGGAGACAGACAATAGACATCATAAATTATACAGTATGTTGGATGGTGATAAGAATTAATGCAAAAAGAAAGAGTAACAGGGTAAAGGAGATGGGAGTTGAAGCTGGTTGTAGGAATGCTGGTTTGCAGAATTATTAAATAGAATGGTCAATTTAATATGAAATTGAATATCGTTGTTTCTTTTTGATACAAATCCAGAGAATTCTAAAATTTAAAAATGTGACCACAACACTGGAAAGGGCATCTGTGGCAGGAAGTCCTGATGTTCATGCTCTAGGACTGCAAGTGTTGGCACTGATGAAAAATGCAGCTCTGCAGACAGGCATGAGGGCGCACTGTGTGTCCCTGCCCAGAAGAGGGCGTCGCTGTTCCACCAGAAGCCCCTCTCCAGGCCCTGGCAGGCAACTAGCTCCTCAATTGATTTGCTTCAGTGGATTCATTTCCTTGATGCAAAGCATCTGTGTTTGTTGGTGCTGCCATTTGAGTGATGTCTCTGACTTGTTTGTTTTGAATTACATTACAGGCTGGAATGTAATTGTGGTGAAAGTATTTTTACATTGCTGAGAGTAGCAGCTAATCACAGTTACATGCTTGAGAAGATTTATAATTGCTTGGTTTTTGTGCGTATGTGTTTTTAATTGCATCTGAGTTTTATGGAGAAGAATATGCATGACTTTAAATCTATAATAATGTACATGCACTTTATTTCCAGTTTCACCTACTTTAAAAATTATCTTCTCATTAAATGTTAGTACTTTGACTAGTTTATTTCTTTGTGCAGTTGATCATAATTCATTTCTGGCTCCTTATACTTCTGCAGGCTGACTATTGCATTCATTGTCTTCATATAATTTTCTTGGGGATTATTTGTAGGACAAATGATCTGGAACCTTTCCTCTATAGGGTAAAAAAAAACAAAAAAAAAAAACCTCGTTGCCGTCAAGTTGATTCCGACTCATAGCGACCCTATGGAACAGAGTAGAACTGCCCCATAGAGTTTCCAAGGAGTGACTGGTAGATTTGAACTGCCAACCTTTTGGTTACCAGCCAAGCTCTTAACCAGTACCACCCAGTAAATCTGGCTAAGCACTTTTTACACACTAGATTCTTGGTAAACATTTGTTAACATGTATATATATATAGAGAGAGAAGGAGAGAGATTGAAGTTTAGGGGAAAAATTAATAACAAGGAGAAGATCTAGGATGAAAAGCCAGAAATAGTAGGTAAGCATTTTAGCTCAGAGAGAGTCACTGCTAAAAGAATCAAGAAAATAAAACTACAAACAGAAAAGGCTAGAAAAGACAATATCCACATTTCCTGTCTTGGTCGTGAAGGGACAAGTATTTCTTGATTTCTAAGTGTGGCTGAACAATTGGATTTTAGTTTACAACCTTTCGATTCTCCAGTGATTGAATTATATAAAAATTTCTCCTAAATTTTTGGTCTCGGGTGCAGTTCCCTCTATCACTTTGAGGGAACATCAAATTGAACCTGGACCTTCAGTTTAGACAGTGAATCACAGATGGGAGGCCAGCACCTCCGTTGGTGATACAGGTCCGTTTGTCATAGGCTTTGTTGTCGTTAGTTGCTGTAAAGTCAGCTCCGACTCGTGCATGGCGATCTTCTGTATAACAACACGAAACGTTGCTTGGTCCTATGCCATCTTCATGATCCTTAGTATGTTTGAGTCCAGTGTTGTGGTTGTTGTCAGTCCATGTTATTGATGGTTTCCATTATTTTTGCTCACCCTACACTTTATCAGACAGAATGTCTTTTACTAGCAATTGGATCATAAGACTTTAAGGCTATTGAATTCTAATAACAATTTGGAAGAGGTGGTGATGAATTATGGATATATGATGAGATGATCAGGCTTCCTGTTTGCCACATTCTCCAGCTACTTAGAAATGGCCTAACCTATTAAGATACCCCAGTTCAAAAGCTTGAATCCAGTTTATTGATACTGATGGTGCCTAAGAGACTTGTTTTGTGGATGGGATAGTTCTGGAAGTTGTGAGATGCAAAAAGATTATGGACTGACTGCCCCATTTAGAGCAATTAGGTGGAATGATTGCATCAGCATTGCTAGAGTATCCAGTATTTACTTTGTACAGAGTCTTTGCCCCAGATTCTGCTGAGAATGGGTGGTGTGTAATGCTTTGGCAGCCTTCAATCACTGATAACAGATCACATTAAAATATCTTTGCACTTTCTTGTTCCTTGGCACAAGCATTTCTTCCTGTGTTGTGTTTGGAATATTATGGAGAGAAAATAGGTAGCCAAGAACTCCAATGTAGGTAAGAACTGTTATTTTTTCTTTAAACTTTTTATTTGGAAATAATTTCAAACTTACAGAAAAGTTGCAAAAATAAAAATTGCACAAACACCGTTTACCCTTTAAATGTTAACATTTGTTGTTAACAACATCTTACACTTTTAGCTTTATTGTTTGCTGTCTATCATTTGCTCACTTAATCTCTCTCTCTCTCTCTGTCGATCATTTGCTTTCTCAATTGTTTTTCTGAACCATTTGCTAGCAAGTTACATACATCATACAACCATGGCCCTTTACCCCCAAAATTCTCCAGTATTTCCTAAGAATAACGATATTCTCTTATATAATCACAATGTAGTTACTGAGTTAATAAATTTAACATTGACACAATACTTTTTTTTTTTTTTTTTTTTTT